ATGCACACGCACACCTGTACACATATACATATACCTACACACACGCACACACACACCCCTACCTGTACACATGTACACACATGTATGCACATTCCTACCTGTACACATGCATACACACACCCCTATACACGCACACACATACACCTACACACGTATTCACGTGCAAGTGTGATTTTCAGATATTCTGCTGCTTGCGTGTGCACCAGGGCTGCTTTTTACCTGTGCCCTGGGTTAGGCCCCCTGTGGGAGCTAGAATCCTTACACACCCCTCAGCTCAACACCCAGGTGGTAACAGGAAACCTAGCAATTTCTGCGAGGGTTGGCTCCTCTTCAGTACCAACCACAGTCCTCCTAGTTGGCCATTTTCCTGGCTTTTTTTTTTTTAACCGTTAAGGGGATAGCAACCCTCGGCACGGTGTCATCTGCACCACGTTCAACCAGTGAGTGCACCGGCCATCCCTATGTAGGATCCGAACCCGCAGCCTCAGTGCTACCAGCGCCTGACTCTCCCGAGTGAACCACGGGGCCGGCCCCATTTTCCTGCTTTTTTACCAACCTGGCCCTCAGTGATAACAGAGATTTTAAAAATTTTGAATCTTTGCCCCCCTCCCCCGTCTCAAGTGCTCAGTCCTAACGTGTGTGCAGCACAGTCTCCGAGTGTGCTCGAGTGTTCGCAGTCCCAGTCGTAGGAGCCCATTCCCCCAACCTCACAGGACCTGTGACTAGCAGGGGCAGTTTGGCCAGTAAGGGTAGAGCCAGGCCTAAACCCGGGGCCTCCTGACCGCACGCACTTCCCCGTCACCCTGACCTGCCCAGTGGTGGACGTGCAGGTGGCTTCTAGTTTTCATAGTTAGAAGACAAGGGCCATCCTCATGCATAAATCTCTATTTGAATCTCTGACACTTTTTAGGACTGATATGGGGGTGTCTATGATAAGGATTTGCTGGGAAATGAGGGTCGTGCTCCCAGAAGAACTCTTCCTGTGCGTGGCACTATGGGAACCTGGGAAGCAGCCCCCAGCGGGGAACATGGGCAAGGGGCCACCATGGGAGGCCTGGAAGGCAGGCTGGCAGCCGCCAACTGACACACACTTGGGGAGCCCCGACACTTCGGGAAACTCCTCCCAGAGTAGGGCTCCTGCCGGGTCTGAGGTCACATGCATGGCTTCTGGCTTTTGCAGGAGAATTTCTACAAGCCCCCAGCCCAGGATGCCTGCCTGCCCTGTGACTGCTTCCCCCATGGCTCCCACAGCCGTGCTTGCGACATGGACACTGGGCAGTGCGCCTGCAAGCCCGGCGTCATCGGCCGCCAGTGCAACCGCTGTGACAACCCATTCGCTGAGGTCACCACACTCGGCTGTGAAGGTCTGCACTGCCCATTCACCCCCTTCAGGTCACACCGCAAGGACAGGCTGCTGGGCTGGTGTGTGTGCCGGAATGTGTATTGTATGGGCATGTGCATGTATGTGTGCATGTGCATGTGTGTGGGAGTGTGCATGTGTGTGCAGCACGTTTGTGGGTGTGTGCACATGTATGCGTGTGTGCAAGCTTGTGCACGTGTGCACACGCACATGCACGTGTGCATGTGTGGGTATGTGCATGTGTGTGCGGGTATGTACATGTGGATATGTGCATGTGTGTGCTGGTGTGTACCTGTGTGGGCATGTGCATGTATGTGTGGGTGTGTACATTTGTGTGTGCATGTGTGTAATACACACCCCTGGGGTCTGGGGAGCTTTTGGCAGCCTTGTGTTCTAACCATCTCCTGTTGACCTTCTAGAAACCTGCCCTTTACAAGGGTCATGGGTCAGACCCTGAGTCACCCAGCTGTAACATCGGTGGGGGAGGGGAAGCGGTGAGGGGCTCGGTCCTTGGTGGGGGCAGAGCCTCCTGCAGGGAGTAGCATGTGGAGAGTGCTGCACCTTCGTGGGCAGCATGCTGGGCTGAGCGGCCCTCTTTCCTCTGTGCCCAGTAATCTACAATGGATGTCCCCGAGCATTTGAGGCTGGCATCTGGTGGCCACAGACTAAGTTCGGGCAGCCGGCTGCAGTACCGTGCCCCAAGGGATCCATGGGTAAGTCCTGCTGGCCTGCAGCATCCACGGGAAAGGGGATTGGACTGGGGCGTGTGTGCTTTTGGGAAAGCCAGTCCAGGCACCGGAACTGATATAATGTTCTGTGTTTACAAAACGTCTTTAGGCAAAGTGTCAGGGAGAAACAAGATAACTTTTTCCATAATAGTGAATAATAAGACACAGAAGGGCATGATGAAAACTTAAAATAGTGTGGCCGGCTGGAGGTACTGGGCCCGGCTCTCTGCCCGTGGGTGTTGGGCAGGTCGCTGGCTTCTCTTTGTAAACTGGGCACAGTGGCTGCGTCAGGGCGTCGGGGCATCCAGCGAGGTTGCTGCTTGGCCCCGAGGCGGATTCCTGGCACATGTGGAAATTGTCGGCACTCAGCCAAGGATGTAGCTGGTTTCTTTGCTCATGGACTTTCTCAGATGCTCCTTCATATTTTCCAGGCACTGGAAGGGCCTGGTTAAATGTCAGAGCAGCTTTGGACATGTCCCAGGTGTGGAACAGGGAGCATGTGTGGCCTCATGGTCCTGGGGCCTGCCCGGGCCGAGGCCACCATGGGGTCTCACCTCCACTCAGCGCTCAAGGCTTAAGGACATTTGGATCACGGGATTAAAATAAACAAGCATTGATCAGCAGCTGGAATTTCAGGTTTTACCTACGCGTTCTCGTTCCCTAGGAAACGCTATTCGACACTGCAGTGGGGAGAAGGGCTGGCTGCCCCCGGAGCTCTTCAACTGCACCTCCGTCTCCTTCATGGACCTCAAAGTCCTGGTAGGCTGGCGCCCAGGGACGTGAGTTCAGCTGGGTTGTGTCGTG